CTCACTCTCACATCTGAAGTAACGCCCAAAAAATTGTCACGTGACATCACACGTGATACATTTTATTAGGCCGCTTGGGGTAGTCAAAATGTCACAATTGCAGTTTGTTTACCATTATTTATGTAGTTAGTTGGAAATAGTTGATATATAATTTATTTATTACTATTTATTGTTGTTTCAACAACTTTGAAAGTGAAACTAGCAATTAACGAAGCAAAATTGACTGGTGTGTTACCAATTTTAGTTACCGGGTCTTTCGAGAAACTTTCCCCTCCCAAAGAGGATGCTGGGAAAAACTGATCAAAATGGCGGACGAGCTCATCAAAAAGTTGAATCTTGTTCCTCTGCCAATAGGCGGTTTTTATGCAGAGTCTATGCACGCAAAAACCACAGTTAAACCCTTGGACAACTCCGGGCGTGAAGTGAGAGATGCTTATTCGGTGATTTATCTTCTCTTAAGGGGATCTGACATAAATGCTTGGCACAAGATGAAATCCGAGGAGACCTACTTCTACCACAAGGGGAGTCACATAATTCTTCATATGATAGCTGAAGATGGGAAATACGAGACTAAAATCATCGGAGACCCACTTGTGGATCCTAAAGCTCACTTTCATTATCATGTGCCAAAAAATGTCTGGTTTGCTTTGGAACTTGAAGACAAGACCGGCTTCTGTGTTTTCAGCGAGGCGGCAGGTCCTGGGTTTGAGTACGAGGATTTTGAGGGAGGCGAGAGAGAGACGATGCTTCGCTTGTTTCCACAGCATAAGGAAGTTATCGACAAGTTTTGTTTAAAATGACTTTTGCTCTTGTTGATTTCATATGGACGTGACAAACTATTCTAATTAATTATTTTTTGTGAACAAAAGGAAATAATTATTGGTGTGGGTGTGTGTTCTGATTTGTCCATTGATATACAAGAGGCTAATTGAACCAAATCTCAAAGCATATTTAAATAACTATGACTATCTGATATTTTTCTATGAATTTTTTTACAATTTTAATCAATTGAATAAAAATGTTGCTTTTGCTCAAATGATCTGGTAGGGGTGTTTTGCAAGGTGAGGAAAAGATGCTGATTTGTCAGAGGACTGTAAAGTTTCATGATCAAGGTGAGGAAACTGAGTGGAAGTTCCATTTAAGGTCAGTATTCAGGGGAAATTTAACTGGAACTTGATTCACTCAGTTTTCTAACCCCAATCACAGGGCCCTCGCAAGGGGAGGGGCTTGGGGGCCAGGCCCCCTGCAACTGTTTGAAAAATAAATAAATAAAATTGAGTACAGTGGAACCTCGATTTAATGAAGGGCCAAGGGACTGGCAAAATATGTTCGTTGTCGAGGTTCATTAACTTATATCAAGGTTCTTTGTCATATTGCCTTATATTTTACTATTACTAGAGTAAAAAAAAAATAGTTTGTTAGATCGAGGACTTCCTAATAAAGGTTCCATTGTAATATGCATTTTCATAGAAATAGTATCTTTGTTGGATAAGAATCTTCCAGCATCTAAATTTATTATTGTTCTGTTTCGATCCCATCAGTCTGATGTGCAGTAAGCCTCAAAACGCCTATCTTTACAAAACTGCACTTAGTCCTAGACTTCTGTGTTTTCAAACCAGCAAGGCTATCTAGCATTTGCAATGATGGGGAATAGTCTGATTAAATCTGAAGACTACTCCATGAACTACTATCGGCTGATGATGTGGTCTCTGACACATTTCCGTGACGTACTAGACAAAATGAAGGGGTAACAGGAACCTACAGTGTAACATCATGATCTGCAAACTTCTAGCGGTGGATCCAGCATTTGCAACCAAGCTCAGCGGGAGAAAGGTACTTTTCAGTGGCTTGACTCCGCTCATTAATGACTCAAGAAAGGTTCAGTAATCTGACAGTTCTAAACATCCACAAAGAGAGAACAACCAAATTTGCCCCTCACCCCCCCCCCCCCCCTTACCACTTCAAAAGAGGCAGTCACAGGCCCCTGCACTTTAAAAACTGCTCCGCAGGCCCTGAATCATGGAAATTCCAAGTCATTTGGCAGCCATATTCAGCATTAATTTTCCAAAAAAAAACCCCTACCCCATTTTTTTTTATTTTAAATGTTCCTGTTTATTACCAAGGGATGGGAAAATTCTGCAAAATGCCATTTTTCACCCTTAAAGCTCTGCTGGGGTGATCTTCTCCATTTTTAAAGCTCTGTACACATACCAACACATGACAAGTGAATTAAAAAGACAGTTTCTTCACAAATTATTTTTTACCATATTTACTACAAATTTTTGCATGGTGTTATATTTTATCTTAATGAGTTACTTCCAGCATCTGGCTGTCTGTCTTTGTCAAAACAAATATTTTGTAACTTCTGGCAGTTGAGGATCGCCTCCTATAACAATAAAATTGAAATCATAAAGTTACCAGCATTGCAAATATGTTATAGTTGACCTAACAGCTGTTCCCTGGTGGAAGATAAAACTTTTGACAGAAAACAAGATCATTGGCAGACGACTGTATAATTTTTCAGCGCAGACTTTTTCACTTGTGAGGAAAACATACAAACGGAAACGAATATGGTTGACTGCTATTATTTGACATTGTTGATGAACATCAACTCAAGATACTTAAGGTTAACATGACAAACGTTGCAAGACTTGTATTACAAATGGATTTGTTATTATTTGATACCAAGTTTGATTCAATTCTTGTTCAATAAATATTCATCATCAAGACTGCTTTGTAATACCCACGCTGTTGCATTTGAAAAATATCGATACTTAAATATTGCGGAATACTTAGATTACAGTTCACTCTCGATAATTCGAACCCTCGCTAACTCCAACCCCGCGATATAACTCCAACCAAAATCGATTTCACCCTGATTTCCTTCCTACATTTACTATCATTTTACCCTTGGTAACTTGAATCCTTGATAACTTGAACCTCCCGCCAACTCGAAGTAATTTTTGTTTCCCTTCAGATCATTTCCATTTAGAACCCTCAATAACTTGGACCATGCTTTAAGCACTTAACAAGTTAGAAAAAAGTGTACTGTAAATGAAACATTGTAATTGTTTTAATAACCATGCATGTATTCTTGGTCTTTACTTTTTTGTTAGTCCAGTATAAACACAGTGTCCAGCACTGTCTATTTATCAAGCTTTGAAATGTGCAAGTTATATTACTTGCATTCATTGCCCATCCCATTTCCTTTGAACTCCTGATAACTCAAACTCCCCCTAACTTGAACTTTTTTTCAATTTCCCTAGAAGGTTTGAGTTATCGGGAGTCAACTGTATTCTGGATCAAAAGTTCAGTGAAATCCTGATGATGCAGATCTGGTTGTATTGAAGACTGAGGTGATCAGGTAACATTATGGCTGAATATTTTTTTATATATGAAACAAATTTGAAAGTATGAAGGGAATTCGTAGTGCATGTATAAAGCAAATTGATTTATTTGTGAAGATATACAGTTGACTCCCGATAATTCAAACCTGTATAAAATGAAAATGTTAGAAAATGTTCTGAAGGGAAATAAAAATTGGTTCGAGTTAGTAGGAGGTTTGAGTTATAGAGGGTTCAAGTTACCGGGAGTTGACTGTATGTATTTTATTTTCATTATTTATGACTCTATTGTGATACCTGTATGGTTAAAAACATTCATGGACACCCTAAGTTGAACCAAATCTGCATTTTACACCCCTAAGTGATGTGATGTGTCCCTCTTGTCTGAGAGCCCCCCCCCCCAGGATGTAAGGTAGGGTTCCAATTGGTGGACAACAGCCTGGGAGTAATGGTCAGCTGTAGTCACACATAGTGGTGCATCCTGACCTATACACTGTAAGTAAGGGGGGCTAGACTCATCCAAAACTTATGCTAAGGGAGGACCTGGTCCTTCATTTTTTTTTTTTTATGTTGTAGGCCTTGTTTTTTTCTTTTTCAAATATTGAGGGAAGGGGAAGCTCCCTTAGAACCACTACTGACATACACGGTGTCAAAAACTTTAAGTTACCTCATATCTCTCTGGATCGTCTTCTTTCATGGCTGCTATTTTTGTTTTGAGTAGTTCCTTCAGATTAAATTCTGGTCTGTGACACTCTTTTATACCTTGTGGATAATCAGTCACAAAATAAACCAACAGTCCAATGACATGTTCATGTGAGGACTTCTGAGAAGCATGCAACAGACCAACCAATTGTTCAATAAATCCCATCTTGAAGAGCGCATCTAAGAAGAGAAAATAGGAGATACTTTTTACGATATCAGATAGTGAAAACTCTTACAAACTACTTAATTTTCTGTTAAATTAGGGTTGCAGCTTTGTGAGTAACCTAACGACATTTTAAAGTGATATTACTGGTAATGACACTACGAAAGTCCGAATCTGGCTGCTAAATACCTTTATGTGAAGGATTAGTAAACAGCATATGCCGCAACATAAAGGCTGACTTAGTTATCAGTTTATCATTTTCTGCTTGCATTGCTCGGATTAACAGTGAAAACCCATCTGCCTTCAAAAATGCCTCCTCTGCTGGGGGGAAATCTCTTGTGAGACCTAGTGGAAAAAATGAGGAAATACAAACATTATTAGCCAAGGTCTCCAGAGTGGAGGAACATTGTTGCTCAGATGTATAAATGGATTTTAGCAACTTAATGCTGGGTGTATCATGCTTCCTTAGACAAGAAACTTTGAAACAAATTTTTTCTTCACCAAGAGGTGATAATGGGACATATTTATTTCAACCTGATGTTTGAGTATCCTGTTGTTTCGTTAAAAATTAACCAGGAAAATTTGCTGCCGATTTTGTCTCTTTTCACCCAGATGTACGTATGTAAATAATGGATTATGGCACTAGCAACATTACAGTGCATGTCTAAATGGATTCTAACAGAATAATGCCCCTGGGGGCCTGAATTGTATCTTGTGTGACGTGTCATCATCTAGTATTTGAATTTCCTTGAAATACACAGGGCATACCTGATATGGCAAACAAAGACTTGATCCTAACTTCTACTGAAACATCAGTGTCCAGAAGTGAAGATAAAATTGGAAGAATGTTCATTTCTAGTGCAGCTTTTTGACAGTATGGATTATTTTGAACACACACAGCCAAAGTGTCAGCTGCTCTCCACCTTATAGAACTGCAAGGGAAATAAAAGAAGCAAAACAAAGTTCCATGAAACAAATTAATGAATGAATCTACTGCTAGCCATGCTTACAGTGTATGTAGAACTGTCCTAATGTTGCATTATATAATTTCTCTTCAATTACTCTTTTAAATTAATTCAGAGTACTTTCTTGCACTAGGGGTCAAAGTTTTATTTCAATTGAGTATAAGTTACTTTAATCAATCAATCAATCAACTATCAATGTGTCATAACTACTTGCTGTCTGTACCCCAGAAAGGGGTCTACTACAGTCTACATGTAACTTCCTTTATCCAGACCTCCATTGACAGGATTATTATTTTTTCTTTCTTTGCATTTGATGTTCATGTTATTGCTCCACCCTTCTAAGAGCAATTTTGCATGCATTGTACATGTGAGTGAAAAGAGTAAATTTTAGCCATTGTTTCTAGGGAATCTTCCGTGGAACTGAAAAAGTAGTAATGAGAAAAACTTCTGATAGATAATCATATATTAATTTTGATCATCCAGACTCTTGATTATCCAAACTGTATTTTCGGACACCTACATGTACTTCAACATCATACAAATTAATTAACCAATAGTATGACAGTTTGATAATTCAGCAGTACCTGTGTTCACTTGACAGACACTTAATCATAACATGAAAGCCCCCAATCTTGTGAAAGTCTGAAAAACTCAAAATAAACCTCTGTCAACAAAACTTAACATTTCATGAAATAAAGGATTTTAACTCCCTTAGCCAATCTGCAATAAATGTGAATATTTTTAAGTGTGCTATTTAGCTTCTCTTAAATCTTTTACATATTCAGTGATTTTAGGTGATATCTTGTACATTTTAATCTTATGACATCCTTTTGGAAAACCATACTTGTATGAAAAAGTTATCTCAATAAATAATGGTAATAGGACTGAGTGGAGTCCAGTTTGGTCTGTAATCATACAAGTGATAAGCAAAATTGGATGACCACGTAGCGGGAGTCCAGTTTGTTTAATCAAGAGTATGATTACAGACAGAATTGGACAACACAAAGTTCTGTTACCAATTAATCGTAACTATAAAAATTTGTGATGGTCTAGCCTTTTTTTGACAATTAAAACACAAGAAATTCCAAGAGTTTTCTCACTAGCAGTGAAAAAAAAAAAAGCTATTTAAGTGTATGCATGCGATGATGCGTACTGTTCTATTACATAGGCATGATGCGTAGGTCTGTCCTATTTCACTGTCCTGAGTGCTGAAATCAGGACAGTTGATAGCCAATCAGATTTAAGAATTTTGTTATAGCTTATTCTTATTTTGTTTGCTTTCCTAGTTATAGGTGAATAAATCTTATTGCAATACTTGAGGTAGTAAAAGATAGGCAATTTCTAGGTAATTTCTTTGTTTATGTAACTTAGCTCTAAGACAGGTCTTAACATAATAGTTGTTATTGACTGAGGGCTGAGGTATGAAATATAATTTTCTGGAAAATATGTCACGAATGAGTTATTTCTTCTTGTAAAAGAACGAAACATAATACCATCATACTCTGATAGTCAAGCAGGTTTCTAGGCCTAAAAGACATATTGGGGACTGATGAATACACGTCCAAATTCAGTTTGGACTTTCCTTCAAATTTTATTCCCTTTGTTCAAAATAAACATGGACCCCTGCCCCCAAATTGTAAACCAAAACACACCATTTGCATTGTCTAAGTTATCCACAATATCTGCCAGTCCCTCAAAAGCATCTTCTTTCTCTGAGAGGATGTCATCATCATTGTCAGTTTCAGGTTTGTCAATTGTTTGTAAATGCGTCATCATGCTTTTGACATAGGTATCCTCTGTTATGGATGATAATGCTTCCTGTAGCCACTCTCTCCTCTTCCAAAAAAAAAACAACATTATTTTAGCTCTCATCCAATCTTTTCAGAATTATTTGGCAACTCCCCTTTTCGGCAGACATTAGTTTTCAGTGACTGCTCATTTTTGACTTAGACTCAATTTCTTGTTAAACTTTGTTTTCATAGGATGAGTGATGTTATGATAGCCACAGGCCCACCTTGAAAAGTACCTAGGACTTGACAGAAGGTCCATAGTGGCACAACATAACACAAAATATTAACCAAAAGTTTATGGTAAGATTTCTTTATTCTCTTCTGCTTTTACTTTGCATACATTTATCCATTCTTTTCGTTCAGTTTCTGGCGTATTTAAATAACACAAACGATATCCGTCAACAGTAAACGTCGCCATATTATTGTTTGCAATGCAAGCTTACCTCCTCACTCATTTCTTGGAATACGCTCGAAGTATCGGCTTGTGAATCATCAGAATTGTCCGCGGCCATCTGTAGAAGTCCTTGCAAATTGTGTCGATATCTTCTCCCATCTGATTCACGATTCGCCATCAGTTACACTGCGAACTTCGGTTTTCTATCACTTTAAAAATCCAATGCAGAGATCCAACTATTAAAAAATCGGCAGGCGTTTGAAGACTCCCTGGGAAGACTGGGTACTAATGTGAACTCACTGATCTTTAGAATTACGGGCTCAAATCCAAGATGGCGGACGACAGTAAATCGGTGAGTTCCGAAGCAATATTGTTTTTTGACTTTTTTCTTGGAATTTTTTGCATTTGTAGTAGAGCATAATTTGTTATAGTTTTTTTCCGGGTAATAGTCGGAAGAGTTTATTCGTAATTTAAAAAAACACCTCTTTAAGTCGAAGCTACAACTTGTTGGGCTTGTAGGACTGTCAACTGACTGGAAAGTTTTCACCTCCTCTCTTGGTTGCCACAAGTTTTTCTTGGAATCCTCAAAACCGTTTTGACCATTATCCTGTTAGCTACAGTATTTCAAACGTCTTGTAAGCTTGTTCTCAAGTGCACACTTACAATATTTCAGGGCTGTGCTGTCAAACCCCAACGTCTTCAAATGTTGAGAATTGATAGGATGATACACAACTGTAGATGACGTCATAACGCATGGTATATGACATCATTTGTGTAAAAAAATACTCATTGACCCGGTTGTCACAAATTTGCGATGACACAAAGTGCATGAAAAAGATGTTGTTGGCATTGTTACATTTGAGCTGATTGGTTTACTTTTTACCAATCACATTATTATTACAATGGCGTGTCAGGGTGTACAAGAAAACGTTCAGTGTTTACATTAAAATAGCTCAAACAATGNAGGCGTTTGAAGACTCCCTGGGAAGACTGGGTACTAATGTGAACTCACTGATCTTTAGAATTACGGGCTCAAATCCAAGATGGCGGACGACAGTAAATCGGTGAGTTCCGAAGCAATATTGTTTTTTGACTTTTTTCTTGGAATTTTTTGCATTTGTAGTAGAGCATAATTTGTTATAGTTTTTTTCCGGGTAATAGTCGGAAGAGTTTATTCGTAATTTAAAAAAACACCTCTTTAAGTCGAAGCTACAACTTGTTGGGCTTGTAGGACTGTCAACTGACTGGAAAGTTTTCACCTCCTCTCTTGGTTGCCACAAGTTTTTCTTGGAATCCTCAAAACCGTTTTGACCATTATCCTGTTAGCTACAGTATTTCAAACGTCTTGTAAGCTTGTTCTCAAGTGCACACTTACAATATTTCAGGGCTGTGCTGTCAAACCCCAACGTCTTCAAATGTTGAGAATTGATAGGATGATACACAACTGTAGATGACGTCATAACGCATGGTATATGACATCATTTGTGTAAAAAAATACTCATTGACCCGGTTGTCACAAATTTGCGATGACACAAAGTGCATGAAAAAGATGTTGTTGGCATTGTTACATTTGAGCTGATTGGTTTACTTTTTACCAATCACATTATTATTACAATGGCGTGTCAGGGTGTACAAGAAAACGTTCAGTGTTTACATTAAAATAGCTCAAACAATGCAAAATATTTGAAATTCAGCCTGTGAACAGAGAGCCTGGCTATTTGAAATTTTATTGTCGGAAAGTCTACCAAAGAAATGGCAAACATCGGGGATTATCTGGGAGATTTCATACTCTAATCTGGAGACCAGGAGATACAGTCCAAAATCTGGAATCTCCCGGATTATCCAGGAGAGTTGACAGCACTGATAATTGGATGCTATTTGAACTTTAAAATGTAGCACATGTACATGTACTTCACTGTTATTATTACTAGCATCAATCTTTTTTTGCTGTGTTGAAAGGGAATTACTGTTCAGGGATGGAACTAGATGGCCTTAATGCAGAGATGCCAACCTCTGGAACTCTAAAGTCTAGAGAATGTTTCTTTTGCAGTACCACCCCCCGCCTCCCCCCACCTAATTAGTAACCTACTCTTCACCGGATTCACTCATAAATCAACCCAGTCATGACATCTGTCAACAGTTGCCTCCATTTCAGTGATGACGATGCACGAATATGCTGCTAACTTTAAAATAAAATAAGTTTTGGATTTTGAGAAAATCATGGGCTAAATTCCATACAATACAGTACAATCAAACTCAAAAGATATTTTTATCCAGGAGAGATTTCTGAAAACTCACAGCTAATATTGGAGAGTTGGCTTGTCTCAATAGGGTGATGACATGTAACATTTAGATATTGTACAGCAACCACTTAATTTCTTTCTGTTACATTTCGTTGACATTTGATTTGTATTGTTTTTTGTCTAAATACCTTAAAAACAAGGAAGGAACAGAGGATGGCATCAAATCTCATCTTGAAGAAACAGCAGATGAGTTTTTGATCAGACCAGTAAGTGGTAAAAATGATAATTTTAACACAGTATATGGTTAACGATTCCAGCTGTTGTTTGGGAAATGAGCCTGTGAATACATTAAACAGGACTTTTCCAGCAAGTTTAAATCTTGAACATCCTTCTGCATTATATGGAACCTGTCCCTCTGGTTGCTAAAAGGGTTTAAAAAAAGACATTAAAATACGCCATAATTTTCTTCAATCTGCCGATGGTACATCTGTAGCAAAGACAGCACTTACAAAGATCATGCTAATAGTTTTTCTTTATTTCTTGTCAGGCTTTTGTTGAGCATGTAAATATTGAAGGTTATTGGAGAACAAAGAAGGATATTTTAGTTCCTGGAATCAAACGAATCCTAGAGGCCACTAATTTCCGTGAGGTATTAAATTTAATGATACTCTAAGCAGAATACTGTTCTCATGAACTTCAAGATAAATATGAATTCACATAAAAGTAGTGTCAGAGTTGATTATGGCATTTTTTTTAAACCATTTCTCATATTTGCTTTTGCCATGGTCACAATTGCAATTTCTGTGTAACCATCATTTTATGCTTCGACTTCACTTCTCACCAATTTGAACTCTACCCCTCTTTTACATGTAGCCTACTATGCTCCCCCTGTACCTCTAGCTTTCCCACTGTAACTTATCTACCGGGCGACTGGACAAACAGACTGGAAGGATGGACGGAGTGACTAGACAGACCAGCCACGGTGAAAATAATCCTTTAAAACTTACGTAATTTTTGAATTATATTTCCTAGCATCTTTGCAAAATGTTTGCACTAAATATATAATTATATTATAACTTTTTCAGCTTATAGCACTTGCTTTTGAGGCAAAAGAGAACCTAAAGAATCTTGGAGTCTTTAATGAAATTGATTTAATGATTGACACAAGCTCAGGTGAAGAATTGAGGACTTCTGCATTATATTTTGTTTTCTTAAAAGAGGTATTTCAGCTTGATGGTTGTCTATGAAAAAGTTACTTTCTTCATTATAAGTACTCTAGAGTTCTTATGTTTTTAAACAGTACACAACCATCAAAAAATTTAATATTGCGTTTATGTGACACTGAAAATAACAAATATGAAATTTTTTGCAAAAAAGGAGTGAACTTTTGTAGCGAGAAATTTTCATTTGTTTAGCTTGTAATTTTTAAATATTTCATTTCATTATATTGACTTTTTCTTGTGAGCATCATTCACTAGAGGGAGAAGGAGAAGTTTGAGATGCCTTGAAGCTGCTGTCCCATTTACAAAATTAAATAAATATCTCTCCACCTGGTATCTTTATAGTAATGTTACAGGATGCCCTAAGGGTGTCCCATCTCCACACAATGTATCTAACATTCCAATTAAATGGCAGATATATCTCAAACCCATTTCAAATTCAAAGGTTGTAGAACTGGATATCTAAATACACTGACCATTTTTTGAAAATCTGAACTCTCATATATTTTTTTTTTTTTGTAATTTTTAAATGTAAGTGTCCTAAACAGCCCTTGAAAGCTAAAACTCAAAGCATTGTTCCCGACGTCAAGCACTTATTGAAAAAATTGCAATAGGGATAATGATTTGTGAAGTAATAATTATAATTTTGTTGAAGGCCCTTCTGCACGTCCTAATGGGTATGATGTCACATTTCAAGTCCAAGAAAAGAGATTTCTAACCAGCAGCTCAGGAACACAAATTGGTAACAATGAAGGAAACATGGTAGGCATAAAAATAAAATAAATACACTGTATTTATAATGTTGTTAAATTGGAGTGGCATGCATTTTATGCATCCCGTTGGTGGACAGGTATGACAGTTTTTTCTTTCTTAGAATTTGTAGTGGCATGCCACATAGTGACTCTTAGTAGGATCTTTGTAGAGGGAATCTGTGAAGAAGGACAAAAAACCCCTTAGACCTCACTTGTGCAAGGATGAGGGTCAATCTTGCAGATATTAACAGAGACTACATGGCTAAAATTGGTCTAATTTTTAACATTAGAATAAAGTAAAATTTTCAGTAAAGAAAGGTTAGGTTTTCTAAATCCGATGAAATATTCTAAAATAAGTCACCAGTTATCTGTTTATCCGCTGATATCCAACATCTGATTTGGTAACGTACATGTAAATTGTACTTTAAGGGAACAGTGGGTTGTAACATGACATGTCTTAATAATTATTTGCAGTTGTTTGGAATGCAGCTCAACAATGTTTTTGGCAGAGCAGAACAGGTGAAGGCAGATCTGTCATTTGGTACNAGTTATCTGTTTATCCGCTGATATCCAACATCTGATTTGGTAACGTACATGTAAATTGTACTTTAAGGGAACAGTGGGTTGTAACATGACATGTCTTAATAATTATTTGCAGTTGTTTGGAATGCAGCTCAACAATGTTTTTGGCAGAGCAGAACAGGTGAAGGCAGATCTGTCATTTGGTACAAGAACAAGGATGTCTTATCAAGTGAGCATATGAATATTTTATTTCAATAATACTTCTGTTGTCTAAACTTTTTGAGAGACACAACACTGCTGTGTACGTCATTACCTACTTTGTACACCTAAGTTATTCTGAGAATTAAAAAAGACAACTTCTCCATTGGAGTACTAAACCTTGAGAAGGAAGTTTTGATTAAAGGAGTCTATGTATCCCACACAATGTCATATCCCGCATGTAACATGCAGCTTAAATAACACTGATAATAATGTATTGTTAAGCAGTCTATCGTAAAACTAAATCTGAACTTTCCTTCTTTCAGCTGTCATTCTTTAAGCCTGCTCCAGGGAAACCAGAAAAAAGGTATGTCCTTTTCTGTTTGTTTGTGTGAAACAAACACAGTTGAATTTTACCCTTATGGACATCAATGCAGACACACACAAGAGTCAGGAAAAGACACCTCATTTATTTGATAGCTACAGCTCACTGTATGGTCGGGATAAACAACAACAACAACAACAAAAACAAAATAAAAACACTTTCCATACATGACACTGTCCAACAAATTACTGTACAAGTACCTTGTAATTTGCAATATAAAACAAATATTCTGTTAGAAAATTAAGACGTGATTTTCTTGATTAGCAGGCACTGGAAATACTATTCTTAAAATTGGAATCAGTTTGCAAAATCCCAAAATAATTTCACAGCTGAATTCTGAATGACTTTGTAATTACAGACTTCTGCTCCGACGATTTCTTTGAAATTTGGCCGGCATACTTTTTATATTACTAAAAGCTGATCGGTAAAAAAAAATCAGGAATATTTTTCATTAGCTGAAATTTTCTTTAAAAAGTAGGGTCCACTAAAGTGCTAATTTTGTTAAAGGAAAACTACTAGTAAAACCGAAAAGTTATGACACAAAGTTTGTCATCGTGCATTACACCTGTTAAAAAAACAAAGCCACCTTTTGTTTAAAATTCTAGGAAGTGACTGAGTTTCTTCCGACTCAGAATAATTTTAACAAAAAAATGTTTTTTAGTTTCACTTTTGCAGCCCAAAAATCAACAACAGATGTACCAATGTGTTCTTACCAAGAGGCAACTCAAGGACTTGTCATGGATTTTCAGGTAACTTGTAACCACCAGAACCAGCAGAAATTTAATAGTCTTCTTTTTCCCATCTTGTTCACATGGTAGGGAGCTAAGCATAAATTCCTCGCCATTTTTTTCTGCTCTTTTCTCTTTGTGCTATCCCAACTGTACAAATGCCCAAAAAGAACGCCTAGAAGCTTGTGTACAGCATCTTCACCATCTGCATTCCTTTTCCTTCAAAAATTGTCTTGTAAAAAGTGTTACATGTATGTGGGTCTAGTAGCCCGAAGCTCTCTGCCTTGGAATGGTTCCAGTGTTGTTGATTTGAAGAATGCTGTAAAAAAAGGAGAAAACACAGGGGGACTCAAATGATATTTTTCTTTTTATTTCAGTTTCCTTCTGTCATTGGACAGCACTCTTTTTCATGGGAAGGAATGTGGCGTGAGGTAACAGAGTTGTCTAAAAATGCTTCCTTTGCTGTTCGGGAACAAGCTGGTCATTCACTGAAGAGTTCACTCAAGGTAATAACTTGTTTTTATTGAAGCGGTGTAACAGGGGCTGGGGGTTATATTTCTTACAACTTTTATTTTCACATGTGCCTTGGTTGTCTCCAATCGGCAACAAACTTAGTTGAGACACTTAGCCCTTAAGAGCCTCTCTGGCATTTTGCCAACTTAAAAAAAAAAAGAAAATAAAGCTTTCTATTCCCTACGCCCTCCATGCAATGTTGTGCTGCTGTTCCAGCTACCTTTAGAAAACAACAGACACCCCAGCTTTGAATGCAGGGAGGAGGGGATGGGTTTGGGTTGTTTTGTTCTCCCAAGTTACCACATTTGAGGAGAGTGTCTCGACAATCCTTTATATGGGGTCAGTTTTCTTTCTGTCGTCTTCTAGGCGACAACTGGAAGTAAGTAAGTAAGTAGTAACGTAAGTATAAAACAAAGCAAAAGAAATGGAATTCACTAAGAATAAGATTGAACCAATTATTTGCTTACATTTTTTTCAGCACACAGTTGTAATGGACAAAAGGGATAACTTAACTTTTCCAACTGAAGGGTATTTTCTAAAACTCTCTCAGGTTTGTGCAATGCTTATATATTTCTTAAGGTTCTCAAACATGTAGGTAAAGTGCAAGGGGAGTAAGGGTGGCGCAGTGCTGAGAACACTTGCCTCCCATCAGTGTGGTCCATGTTCAAATCCCGATGTTGACGCCTTATGTGGGTTGAGTTTGTTGTTGGTTCTCAGTCCTTTGCTCTGAGACGTTTTTCCCTGGGTACTCGGGTTTTCCACTCTTCTCAACTAACCAATATTTCCAAATTCCAATTGGACCAGGAATCAGGTAGACGAAGGACCACTTAGTGGATGTGTTACCTCTAATTCGTTAATTATTGATTATTTATTTATTTAAGTGCATTGTAAATTGTAACTTGTAACTTGTTTACCCACGGACCACTTAGAAGTTCTTTTAAGAACGTGTCTGTACTTTCCAGACCAAATTGGAGTTTGAAAGTGTTGGTTTTTGAGGTGCATGGAAAACCAGAGTACCTGGAGAAAAGCTTCTTGGAGTGAGGGTCTGAGAACCAACAACAAGCAATGTATAGTCATGTATGGAGTCAGTGCCGGGATTTGAAGCCAGGCAACATTGGTGGGAAGCGGGGGATGCTCTCACCACTGTGCCATTTTTGCTCATTTGAAAGTGCAGTCAGTATAGCATTCATCTCTAATTCTCCATTTTCAATTTCACCTTTCAGGAATTAGCTGGATTAGGAGGGGATGTAAGGTTCTTTAAAAACAGCTTGGAATACCAACAAAATGTGGAAGTTCTCAAAGATGTGGTAAGTGTGGGCTGTTTTGCCAAACGACGATCTTGTGCGATATGTTAAAAGGGCTTCAAAGAGACTATGTCAAGGCTAAATACAATTTTGTAGGCTCGTTCAAGAAGCCAACTGCACAATGACTGCCAGTTGACACCCAGTCCCATTTGTTCAAACTGTGGATAGTACTTTCCTCCGGATAAATTACTTATCTTAACTCCCCCACCCCCACCCCCCAGTAAAAGGCTCATTTACCCTGCAAATAATAGAAAAAAACGTCCGATTTTAACCCCCTCCGTTATACAAGCCCCCCATCCAAATATATTGAAAAGAATTCGACTTATTACGACGTTTTAACCCTTCATTAAAAACCAGTAAATGTAAAAGCTATTTTGATAAGCACTGTTGTAGCTTGTTTCGAAATGCCTTTTTTATTTCGTGTTAAGCACCCGCGGATATAAGCCCTTAACCCGCGGATATAAGCCCTTAACCCGCGGATATAAGCCCTTATAAGCCCTTACCCGTTTATAAGCCCTCCTAAAACCCCTTACGAAGATGAATACCCCCAGGGCTTATCAGCGGCAGTTTACGGTTTGTATATCTAACTATTGGTTTTGGGAGAAAATGTTCTCCTTTGTGAGAGATTTGAGCTACTTAGAGGCCAATATTGTTTTGTTTCTGAAATAAAAGAGGGAGAAATCCTCGCGATATAGGATCCTGTTTTTCATTGGTGTAGTTCAAGGTTAAGGTTAAAGCCCAGTGTTTGTTTTGTATTGCGTAGATATTATCCTGGACTTTTCAAGGTGGAAATCTCCGTCCACTGTTTGGTGCGCCTTCTCTAATAAATGACAGGTTAGTTTACTGCATTTTCCTCTGCACCCGTGTTTCTGACCAGTCCAAACCCTAAGACCAGCATGCGTACTTTCAAAGGTCCACATTACGCATGGATTGATTTATTCCATAGGTTCACCACGACAACTATAGTTTGTTGCTACGACCACTCACATGCGCTAAAGGTTTTTTTTTTTTTGCATCCGCAAAAAGGTAGTTGTTGGTATTAACTTTGTTCGGAAATCATGTCCGACCACAGTAAATGCTGAATTGCTGGTATACTTGAACAATCAGAACCTTTGTTTACTTGCTGATCATTTGCTTCATTCTCACGACCTTTATGATACATCAAGCAGTGTTATTGTAAGGAGTAACTGGCTTTTCCCACTCTTTATAACGGACAGTTGACCCCGCCAACCACTTTGTTAATGCGGCCACTTTTCTGTTGCCCGAAAAAAGTCATTCATTTCTTTTTTCGACGAAATACCACCTTCTGGAGTAATCATTTGTTATTTCTTTCACGATTCAAATGCCTCGTGAGGATAAGTAGAGCAATCAACTTGACTGACAAACATAAAAGCTAATTAAGTCGTCCAAACGGCATAAATGACAGTTTATAGCAGGCACATTGATAATCAGAATCAAATTTTATTTACCATGACGTCATTATAAAATGCTTAGTATCACAGTGTGCTACTTTCCCTTTAGCCGGGGACCAGGTTCTTCGGTGGGGAAAAGCTAAAGAAAGTGGTAAATAGCGCAAAGCGAGCCGAGCGGGAGACTGAAAAGTGGGAAGGGCGGAGACATGTTCCGGGCCTGCCTTTTCCCTGCCCCTCCTCAGCCCCCCGCGCGGTTTGCCTCTTTCTTCGCTTTCACTTCGTTATTTTGTTCCTTTCCCCCCGCCCCACCTCCTCCCCTAGGGGAGCCTGGTTTCAGGTTACTTCGCGGTTAAAACGACCACTCCTCCCTCTCCTGCAGGGACCACCCCCGTTATACAACCTCGTTTGGTTTCACGGCAAATAAGAAAGGGAAGCCATGGTCCTCTTTACTTCATTTCTGTTCTTTCTCCATTTCCCTACAGATTTTTTCTCGGTGGTCCATTGTCCGTGAGAGGTTTTAACTTTAAAGGGATTGGGCCGAGAAGTGGTGGTAAGATTCAAGTTAGAGTTTTTAAAATTAGAACTAAGTTTGTTTGCCCCACCCCGCTCACTAACCATTCCTCCTACAAACAGTTTGTCTTTTTTCTCATACTCCACGTATAGTCCTTCTGACAAAACATGTCTCCAGGGACTGCACGCTTTTCATCATGGTAATGTTTATGTGAAACTCTTTTTCTAGTGGTCCATATTGTGTATTCGTGCAGCTTTGTGTTATCTGAACGTTCTTCTTGGTCTGATTATTTTATTTCCAAGATGATTCGCTGGGCGCGGATACTTACTGGGCAGCAGGCCTCCATCTGTACACTCCTTTACCGTTTAGGCCTGGACGAGGTGGCCTGGGTGACCGTATCAAGACGCATTTGTTTCTTAACAGTGGCAATCTGATCTCATTAAACACAAGTATGTTATGGATTTTATTGAGTAGAAGTGTATGCAGTGTTATGTTATGTCATAGTATAAAGGTGTGGCCAGTCTCAGTAGGTACGTGGTGTATCTTGGTGTATGGGTTTTTTAGTCTATAGGCGAAATTCTTTGTGCCATTGTGATTCACGTCACGTGGTCAGGCCGAGTGAAGTAGTGAGGCCCCGTTTCAGATGCGTCATCAAACTGGGAAAGTGCTCTAAGAGACTAGACGAATGTATGGGAATATATATTGTACTCATGCCTAGTGTATTATACTGATACAACTTTATTCACCATATCATATGATACTTTATTTCTCGATACAATTTGTGTTCGCATGACGTAGCTATTTGATACACCCTTGCTCATGTTTTTACTCGTAAAAAGAGTTATCCCTCCCCTGACTGGAGTTCTTGAGCTGAATCGCCACTTTTAGGTTTGATGAAATGCACAGTAATTGCTGTTTTTGTTTATTTAGAGAAAATCAAACTTTCTTTTCAGACGTTCCCTGGCGGAACAGACTTTATGCGTTAAGAGAAAAAGTCCGCTGGTCATGTGGAGCCGGGCTTGTGTTTTTGTTGGGGATCGCAAGAATAGAATTAAATTATTGTATTCCATTTGGTGCTCAAAGTTCAGACAGGTATTGACGCAATTTAATTCCTTTGTGTCTATTTTACTTAAGATTTTCCTGGTAGTAAGCTTATTTGAGAGTTTTTTTAATACCAAATCATGTATTAATAAGTGCATATTTTTTTTCAGTGTAAATCATGGAATTCAAGTTGGAGTTGGAATCAACTTCCTTTAAAGAACCCTTTATCTTTTAAGAACATTAGACACTTAACACTGTCTATGTCTAACTGCGTCACTAGCAATAGCCTGCGAACAGGCTCTTTCGGAGGCTTTGGAGGTGGGAAATGGAGCACTTTTTCTCCCCCACCCTCACAGCCCCCTAAAGAGCCTGCTCGCAGGCTACGCTAGCAACCAGGCACAAGATTTATTTTTGCATCTGTTATAAGTGAAACTGTGGAACTAAACCAAGAATCACCCTGATAACATGGTGCCAAAGGTCGCGGAAGTGTTTAGAAGGGAAAAAAAAAACAACTTCTAAACTGTTGTAACAAATTTTAAAGGAACAACGATACCTATGTAGTGCTACGCGCACTGATCACAGGACACTAACGTCATTCCAAATAATAAATAATGGCCAGGTTTTATTTAACGAAAAATTATCTCCCAACTTTCTTCAGTAACTCCAAAAGTATCAGATTTTTGAAGCGGGGTCGGGAAAATGCGGGTTACAGGAGAAGGTGGTTAACCCGTGGTAGCGGATGGGAGAAACAAAATAGAACGAGGAATGACATTCAGGGTAGCACAAGTTAAGTCTTTTGACCATCGCGCGTCCTCTACCCATCTTAGTTGGCAACGAATTTATCCAGAATTTTTTTGTTCAATTGTTACGCTCTCCGTCCGGTGCAAACCTTTCAGATCTTATAAAAACTCTTATGTAAAAGAGATCCCGAAATGGAGTCTAAGAGCAGGCTCTTGTGTTTATAGTTCTTGGCAAACAGCTTCGCTCTCCAACTAACAGAATAACCTTCTCGCTCACTAAAATACTGGCACATCCTGTTGGAAACCGCTCTCATTTCTTATGTGTCCCACACGTTTCGTTATCCCTCGCGCAAAAGATTCTACACGCGAAACCTCAACACGAACGGTCAGAAAAGCCCTACACAGACAAAACTAAATCTACATGCAACGAACATGCCTAAGTTTCTTTGGTTGGATCATTATCAGCCGCGGGAAACAGGCACATATCCAACAGTGTCGAAAAATATGAAAAATCCCGTTATGTAAAAAAACACTACGTCTAGACGCAACTCAGTAAACCCTCCCGGTTCCTCCCCTGTTGAGTGAGGAGGGAGCGCGCCAGCAGTGCGGTCAGCAGAGATACACTTGAGTACTAATTGGCGTCGTATGAGACTGGTTTGTGTGAGAAGGGGTGTTTGCACACGTCCTTTCCTTGAAAATTGGTCAAAGTTCGACGCGGAAATGGAACCTTCTGAGGGAGAAACGAAAAAAGATCCGAACTATTTCACCTTTGAAGTCTCCTGGGAAGTTGCAAACAAAGGTAATCTTATAAGTTCTTTGCTAGCTTGGTGTATGCTTTCCCGAGTTGTAAAGCGTCTCCGATCTAGTGTGACAAGTTTCCAATCAAAGTTCAAGTTAGAGGTTACAATGTAATATATTGCTCGTAAAGAGTCCTTGTACGTTGTTGTTTCGATTTCCTGAGTCTCACACCTCTTAAGCGTATTTCTGGGCTTTAGACTTTGTTAATAGTAGTAAATGTGGGTGAGAAACGTAAGCTTATGTAAATGAAGTTTATACCACTTGAGGATTGTTGATATTTACTACGTGTCTGTTTGATGTCTAACAAGAACAAAGGCTTGAATTTTCGTCAACAAAGTTAACTTTGCTGACATCTGTTTTCTGTTCACGTGCATGGTGAAATCATCGGTGAAAACTAGTTACTCTGGATTATTTTGTTCTTTACAAGGACTGCATATTGCTGTATTAAGCTTAGTTATATTAAGGTCATTGTCGTCCTTGTAAACAAGACAGCAGTGTGGCGCTAAATTATTTCAACGGATTTCAATTGTTTGAATTTAAGAACCCTGAACATAAGACCCTTGGAATGGTTTGTAATTTAAATCAAATTGGTGAACTGTTAAAGTGAACAGAATAGTTAGCCATAGTTTTGTTTGTGTTAGCTCAGCATGACCTGTTTTAACCCTGCTGAGTCAAAAAAGCATGCATTTCCAAAGAACTTTGTGTTGCTAGACTTAACATCTGCCAACCCCGTGATGGACAATTCTGATCTCATGCCTACTCATGGGGGTGGCAATTGGTCACACAGAGGCGGCAAAACATTTTTTCCCATTTTGGGGGTGGGGCGGGGGAGGGCTGACTGTGGACTCAACTCTTAGTAAGTCTTTATTTTTCTGGAAAAAAAAGTGTGGTAGGGAGCTAAAGCCCTCCAATCTTCTCAGCTCTGCCATCTCTGACCCAAACCCAGTCACATTAATAGAAGGTAAGTGACTTCACTGCTGCTTTTGCCATTGCACTACTGTAAACTGCTGCTTATAAATCCCCCTCCAGTTATAGACCTATCTACCTGTAAACAAAAAATTACATCAGATTATATTAATTTCCCCCTGGATGTCCCCCTCTTGCTCTATTATAAGTCCCCCTCTGAATTTGGTATATTTTGATGTTTTGGAGCCAGTGATTAAAACTAGAAAAACTAGTAAATGCAAAACATATTTTGATCAGCTCTACTAAAGTTTATTTCAAAGCGCTTTTTCTAACTCCTTTTGAATATAAGCTCCTCCTCTTATAAGCCCTCCAAAAAACCCCTTATGAAGATGTATAAGCCTAGCAGGGCTTATAAGCAGCGGCTTATGGTATCTCTTTCTCCCAATCTGACAAGTCACATGAATGTTTTTAGTTGGAGGAATCTATACTGTGATCAGATCTAAGGCACCTGCAGCAGTAGATGCACTAGGGACTAGGTACTGTCTACTTGGAATCTATAATGATCTTCAATGCAAGACAGAAGTTGAGATGATGGAACCTGAAGACCCAGCCATGAAAGGAGCTGTACAGGCTCTAAGGGACAGTGGAGTGGAGGTACTTATGATCTTGTGTTTTGCCCTTCTGCTGTGGAGACTCTGAAGTGCTTGACAATTTTTTAATGCCTGAAATTTTGAAATTTATTAAGCACTGTTCTCTAACTTGCAGACCTACTTTGGAAGATGGCTGATTGATGGGTATCCAAAGGTAAAAAGCAGATTGTTTAGCTTATAATTTATGTTACTCATTCATTGTTATATAATTTATTAGATTCACAGCAGACTAGGGAATAGTCTGCCATGTGTCTTATCCTTTGACGACTCTTTTACCAGTTAAAATCTATTTAAAATTCAAAATGTACTCTTAGTGGTTCTGTGGATAAATTTCCTGATCTTCCCCAATAGACATTATGCTTAAAAAGTCCCAGTAATGGTGTCTTTAATATTAATCTTACATTTATTACAGTAATGTTATTATAGAATCGTCATTTTTTTGGTCTATGCACAACTCATCAGGGTGGTCAGTAAGATAAAGACCCATAAGATTTTGCCAGGTCATTAGAAGTGCAAACCCATTCTTCTTTGGTAGAAAATGATAATAAAATCAAATGAACAACATGAGAGAATGCTAGATCCCAGCTACTTCTACCATTTCCTGCCTTCTCCATGAGAAAAATTCCTTGTTTTACTTGACTGTACAGTTAAACCTACACAGTGTAGATCTTCTTGTCTGTCTCTTGAAGGTGGTTCTTTTCGACATTGGTACAATTTACCACAAGTTGGGGAACATGAAAAGTGCCTTTTGGAACCGTACGCACATTGGCATTCCAGACCCTGATACTGAGTCTAATGATGCTGTTGTGCTTGGATATTTGGTGGCACAATTTATTGGAGAGGTAAAGAATGTTTGATGAGCGCAGAATTGCCCCACAACAATCATTTTATGTAATCAACAAGTTTTTGAACTGTTTAACACTCTCACTGTTGTTTTTTTTATTTTGCTATCCTCTCCCAAAGAAAAGTGTATACAGCTATTTTGAGAAAGGTTGTCGCAAAAAGTGCACGTGACAATCCCAAAAAGTATTGTGGGTGGTTTTGAGTTCACTTTTCTTCAAAGAAATTTGAAAGAATGGCACTTGAGGCCATGGACATATGTTTGAGAGTGCTAAAGGAAAGCACCACAAATAAATTTGACAGCTACAATAGTCAGGAACAGTGTATTGATCATATCCCATGTTACCTTTCGGGATTGTCGCGTGCACATTTTTTTCCGACAACCTTTCTCGAAATAGCTGTATACTACATGCAGTGGCGGATCCAGGGGAGGGGCCCTGGGGACCCGGGCTCCCCCTTGTTTTTGGACCAAACTGAGGACCGAAGGGCAGGGGGAGGGGAGGGAAGAAGAGGTCCAGAACCACAGGAAGCCCCCCTCAATTTGCAGAATTCTAAATTCAGTGGAAACACCCCATGGTGCTGGGCTTTAACCATTGTTGTTTACTTCTTACAATGTAATTAGTTAATTAGTTGTTTTTTCTTTGCACAGTTCCGTGCAAAGTGTGACCCAGAGCTCCCCATAGTTGCACATTTTCATGAGTGGCAAGCTGGAGTTGGCCTGGTTCTGCTACGCACAAGTAATGTTGCAGTCGCAACTGTTTTCACTACACATGCGACACTGCTAGGGCGATACCTCTGTGCTGCTAATGTGGATTTTTACAATAATTTGGATAGGGTGAGAATACCATGTTATTGTTCAAAAATGACAATAAAATAATTTGTGTTATTAGGTGAAGTAGTGTAGTGCTTCCCACATTAGTTTTCAGGTCCTTGTTGTTGAATAGGTGGATTGTGCTCTTTTACTGTCCAGCTGCGAAAACTATGAATGGGCACCTAAAATATTTTCAGGAATGTTTATTGTGTTATGGCCAAATCACATTAGAGAACTGGATGTGTGAGTAAGCTGCAAATCCCCTAGGTAATTGCCCTTGCTTCTCACAGTTAAGTATTCTTGCCCCTGGATGGCTTCTTGACCTTTCAACACAATAACATTCCAGGTGAAATACTTCTGGCCCCAGTTGTTGAAAAGGTGGATAGTGCTATCCACTGGATAAATCACTATCTAGTTGATAACGCAATTAGTTTTCGCAATACTTATCCACCAGATAGCAATTTATCGGGTGGATAGCTCTATCCAACTTTTGAACAACCAGGGCCAGGTGTTTAGGGTTTTCTCAGTTTGATGTTAGAGCATTAAACTTGTATAATGTGTCCCCCCTTCCATCCAGTGAACCTGTAGATTAATAGTCTTTTTCTTCTTCCTTTCTCTTTTTATATACTTCATGATGAACAGTTTGAAGTTGACANACACTGCTAGGGCGATACCTCTGTGCTGCTAATGTGGATTTTTACAATAATTTGGATAGGGTGAGAATACCATGTTATTGTTCAAAAATGACAATAAAATAATTTGTGTTATTAGGTGAAGTAGTGTAGTGCTTCCCACATTAGTTTTCAGGTCCTTGTTGTTGAATAGGTGGATTGTGCTCTTTTACTGTCCAGCTGCGAAAACTATGAATGGGCACC